CATGGACTTAAACAATGATATCCAAGCTGCTCTTCATTATTATGAGTTGTTAGCAGACCTGACCACCACCAGCCAGTTCAAGGGCAAAGTCATCTGCGCTCAAGGAAGACTTCGCCGCGCAACCAAGCCGTTGCCACCAACCCAACCCGTATCCGTCAAAGACACAGCCATCCTACTCGGTAAGCCTCTCGCATACATATCACAGCCCGCCACGGCGTCATCTTCAATCAGCCTTACGACCTCTCTCACCTCAACGTCGAAGCAAGCAGCAACTTCGTCTTCGTCCGCCCTATCAACTCCTCTCGCTTCGACGTCACAGCGGGCCGAGACTTCACAGTGAACCGCCCTCACGACCCCTCTCGCCTCGACATCGCCGCGGGCTGCAACTTCGCTTGCGACCGGCCTCACGACTCCTTTCGCCTCAACGTCACTGCAGGCCACGACTTCACTTTCGACCGGCTTCACGACCCCCCTCGTACTGACATCGCAGCAGGCTGTGACTTCACTTGCGACCGGCCTTACGGCTCCAATCACCTCAGCTTCGCCACAGGTGACGACTTCGCTTTCGACCGGCTTCACGACCCTTCTCGTACCGACATCGCAGCAGGCCGCGACTTCGCTTGCGACCAGCCTAACGACTCCTCTCGCCTCGAAGTCGCCGCAGGCCGCGACTTCGCTTTCGACCTGCCTCAGAACTCCTCCCGCATCGACGTCGAAGCAAGCGACGACTTCGCCTTCCAGTGGCCTGCTAGCATACGTCAAGCACAACTCGAATGGGTTTTGAACACACACCGAAGGAACTGCCGCTTTCCACGCGATCCACGGCACTTCGGCAGAAATACTCGTCCACAAGGTGCACCATGGAGATCTCGATGTCCAAGGGAAACCCCGGATACACCATGCTCATCGACTACAAGTACCCGGTTTCATGAGGTCTGAGCTGCAGCTCACCAAGACAGTATCTTTTACTAGACGAAGAGGGCAAATGCATGTACTATCGATCACGTGGCACCGTGTGCCTTCAGGACTTGCCCCAAAAGCAACAGTACGTGGAGTCCTACAACTCTCCTTACACGTTCCTCAAGCCCGATCCTGGCGATGAGGTCTCTAGCTCGTCTCCCCTCAAGTCCAAGCAAGCCAAGGACTGGGAGTGCGAGGAGCAGTGCTGTTACGAGCCGCGCGCTCAACCGAGTACGTGCACCTTATTGTCGCCTACGGTGCTACCACACATCATGAGATGTCGCCTGACACCAGAGAACTGCGCTGCATGTACAAGCACCACATCCCACAGCTCCAGCACTACGCTATGCGCATTCTGAAGGGATCCGGTGCAAAGAAGGACTCTCGCGAAGCAGGACACAGTGTGATTGCGAAGTTGTCGGGAGACTTCTGCAATGATACTACCAAATACGCCGCCATGGCTGAGAATCTCGCGACCATAAACGTAAGCTCGTTTACGCCGTCGTCCGAGATGCTGTACTGGACACCGACAATGTGCCACCAGCAACAGCACACATAAACGAACCTCTGCTGCCCTCGAAGGTGGCCGAGATTCTCATCGTTGGTGAAGTCGCCACGCGACGGAACCATGATCTGTCAGCGTCATCGTTGTCCTCGTCGAGCGAGAAAGAAAAATCGTCAACTCTGGAGTCTTCATTCAGATCGGAAGCACCTGCAAGCTAGGCACATGATCAGGACCACCTGACACCCGAAGCGGTCAAGCAGAACATGATTGCGCAGCACCTGCAGATGCTTCACATTAAACGCCAACAACAGCACAAGGAGAACGCAGGTTACTAGGAAGTCTTCAGAGTCTACAAAGCAGACTTAATTCAGACTCATCATATTACAAGAAGCGACGCAAGAAACTGAAAATCCCCCAGCGTGAGATTGGGCATCGTGTCGACGCTATCAGGAGCGCCAAGCAGCGAAGTAAACACACCGGGTCTCGAGACGGAACATTAATGATATTAAGCAACACCACCGCGAAGTCATCTAAATACCATAGCTTGAATGAACGGCTTCCCACGCAAGAAAAGCCACCACCTCCCCAAGTTTCATCGCCGTCGCCAAAACCCTTCATCGTCCCTGTGTAGCACCTCCTTGCAGACTCATTCAAGACTTTCCTAAAACGTGCGCTAATTTGCCGGCCGCGCAAATGTGTTACAAATAAAGAGAGAAGAAGAGGCGGCTGGCACAAGCACGAGCCGCAGGCGCTGGATCGTTCTGTTGTTCCCTTGATCTTCAAAGTAGCCAGGTGATAAGGTTCAGGTCCCTTTCTTTTTGCTCACAGGGTGGTTGTGACAGCTGATCGACCGTGTATCAACGATGCTTTGCGTAGTCCTGAGCGTAGTACAGAAAACTACGCGAACTAGAATTCACCTATGAACTGAATGGCACTCCTAGATCATTAGTGCCGAGCCTATCTGGCAGATTTGCCACAGTAGTAGGCCACTAGCGAGTAGCGCACCATCGCGGCTGCAGCGGACCGAATGTTTAACATAGCGATGGTTTCCAAATATAATACGCCGTCGTCATTACTTGCGCTGTAAGCATCATGCAGCTGCTTCTTCAACGGAACAGAAGCATTTACCTACGCACTAAGTAGCGCTTTTGTGACACTCATGAGCAGACCAACATTGCGCGATACCCTGCACCCGGACGTTGCTGGTTCCATCAGTGCGATCTAATCAAGGATATCGACACGCTTACACGTTTCGCTACGTCGAACAACAACGTCCTTTGAACGGCACTGGCGAAGTGCAGGTGAAGTTAGCGTGGGCTGTAGTCGTCACTGCATTTTTTATTGCTCTATTTCGCATCGCTGGTCGAGCTGGAGCATGTTCGCGGCATGCGGCACTTTTCAATATCCACTGTAATTAGGACATTTTCCAATCACAAGAAAAAATGTGCTTTTCTTTTGAGCTCGATGAAGGATATTATACAATAGAAACAAACAAATGACTTACCAGTGCGAGAAAACATTAACGCATGACGGTACGTGAAGTGCATCTCTCTGCTTGTGAGCTAGCAGCTGATCATTCATCCCCGCTGTCACTCTCAGCGCGTTCACAACCATCTCCGTCCAGTGAAAAATCGTCGACGTGAAGACGGTTTCTTGGAACATCACTGTTGAAAGTAATCTGAGGAATTCTCGCCGCCAAACGACTTCGATAGCACCAACAACGCGTCCTTCACTACGCACAGCACCCACATGGTGTTGCTCACCATGTTTATCTGAGGGTGCGGACCGCGGAAATCATTTCACTTCGACACCCGCAAAGAAAGAAATCGCTTGCAGTGTGCTGCCATCCATCAACGAACGTAAAAAAAATTGCCCGCAGCTTCCCCCGGGGGAACACTGAGGAGGATGCGGAGCATATAATTGGTTAACGGGGTGTTAAAGTGCGACTTACTTGGGTCGATGGCTAAATTGGTTAACGTGGTTGTGAAATGGGGTGTTAAATTGCGACTTACTTGGGTCGATGGCTAAATTGGTTAATGTGGTTGTAGGAGGAGGTGTTAAATGAGTGAACACGTACACACGTATGCGAAAGGGCGGCGCTGGTCGAAGGGACGTCGATCATTGTGTTTGTGGATTCGTTGGAATTCATTTCACCGCGACCTTGGACGTCAACGCGCCGTACAAACCAACCGACGAGCGGCAACTGAGCGAGCGAGCGCCGACCTTGAGTATATATACAGCGCGACGGCGCATGCACTGTCAGCTGTTGAATGTTCTCGAAGCGCGACGGCGCATGCGCGTCCACTGGAGAATCAGGAGAATTGTAGAATGTTCTCGAAGGGGAGAAGCGCGCGCGGCACAGATGGTGGGTGACGGTGCATGCGCGCGTCAGCTGTCGAATGTTCGAGAAGGGGGAGAAGCGCAACGGCGCATGCGCGCGCGTCAGCTGCCGATGTTCTCGAAGCGTGACGGCGCATGCGTGCTACATTATACAGCTAGCGAATGTTCGTGAAGAGGAGAAGCGCACGCGGTGTGTAGAGGAGGAAGGGTGCACAGATGGTGGAGGAGTGAAGCGCGCGCGGTGTGTAGAGGACGAAGGGATGCACAGATGGTGGAAGAAAGAGGAGGAAGCTTGCGGACGGCGCCGCACTACAAGCCTCGAGTATTAGATGCTCCGCATCTAAAAAAACAAGCGACGCAGCATAGGCCAAGGTTTAAAAACGCAAATCGCGAGCCTGCGCTACGTTGCGCGTAAAATGAATGTTCTAAAATTTATGCGCTACAAAAGCACTGACGAATGCTATACGCACGTACAAAAGGTGAGTTTCAACTCTAATGGTCCGCCGATAACATTTAACTATTCAAAGTGGCTGCAGAAAATCTCGTGAAGCTGATATGTGTACCCTGCGGGCTCTAATCGAAAGCGCGAGTTGCCACAAATTTTCACGAAAGCTTTGCGTATCGCAAGGACCGATCAGATTTATCGTGTCACAAACGGTCCAGTATACTTACTGATTCCCGAAACATACAAAGTGGTTTGTGCTTGTTCCTTTCTAACACGTTAACACTGCGGCTAGCACCGCCGAACAAGTCTGCCTACTGATCATCCTTGAGAGGACGCTCCTGAATTCCATTAGGCGGTGTGACAGTATATGAACATTGCGAATACGACTCCAAGGCAAATTCGTTTTCTGTCACTCTATCATAATTATCTCCGGCACCCTTCTGCAGCGCCGAAATCTTTCTGCATCTAACGTTGCTCTGGACTACCTGCAGTATCGAAGGCGCCGCATACTTCTGAATATCCCGTTCTATCGTCAACACCGTGGTGTTGTTATGTGATGCAACGATGACATCTCAGGGACATCCCTCATTTCAATAGCATGTGTTGTATGATGACGTAATAGGACGAAGCTATAATATGATGATGGTGTTTTGAACCTCTGGGTTTTTACGACGCCATGGACCACTACTTGTATTTGATAAGCCCTCGAAATATTTCGCCTTGATATACTTTGTTATCTTTTTTATCTAGGGAGACTCCGGTGGACCATTGATGATCAAGACACCATTTAACCGCTTCCAGCAAGTCGGCATCAGTTCGTACGTACGTGGTAAATGCGGTGGCAAACTCCCGGACGTGTACACACGAGTTAGCGGTCACGCCATGTGGCTGACTTGGGCAACCTCCTCGAGTGCCGACTATATGCCTCTCGACATAACAAAGGCCTAGAAGTTCAAGGGAAATCCTTCCTTTTTTGCTTGGCTGAACTTCGACGTGGTAACACATCCCATACGCCTGGTGGTGTGGGTATGGTCAAATAAACAACCATTTCTTTGACTGCATTCTCAAGTGACTTTTGGTGTTTAGACAGTTTCCGCAAGGTATATCCTTTTGAAAGGAAGAGGCCAACATTGCATGCGCTCATGTGCAGAGAATAATGCCAGACGTACACGTCCGCATTAACCTACGCTGATTATTGTTAGAATTTAAGTCACGTGACTGAGGAAGAGAGAGAGTGAATTAAACCTATTTACACTGTAGTTTTATTGAAGAATCGCTGTTGGACCACTAGTTCAGGGCGCTTGTAGCATCAGGCGTTGGCGACAACTTTGGGACGCACAGTGCGTTCCCACGCTTCGCCCTCATGCAGTCATGCAACCGCGTGCGCCATCTTTATTGAAGTTGCTGTAGACGGGAAAGATGTTCCTCCAGAAGAGTTTCATTGAGCTGGGTAGACTGTGGCTATTATTTGACGCACCATGATCCTGAGCTAACGGGGGGTTACGACTCCTTCCTACGTCTAACCGTATGTGACTTTGCCGTGTCCGGGCAAAAGGGAATCCGGAAGTGGAGCCAAAGCCAGGTGATTGGACCTTTTAGGCCCCCAGCTGAAGCAACACACCCCTTTTGCCCCGGCTTTACGTAGATGGCACCCCTGGGTTAACCTACCCCGGGAAAATCGGTAGTCGCCTTTCCTTACCCCCCTCTGATCTTTTTCTTTCCTGTCCTCTTTCTCATCTGTCCTGTCTTCTAATCTCTTCTGTTACTTCCCAATGTTCATGGGCGACTTGGGTTAACCTTGTGCATCCAGCCAACCTTGGCCTTCGTGCATTATGTTATCATAGCGGTTTACGGCTGGCGTCTGCGTGTTTCTCAATTCACTAATCTTGTAGCGTCCACTCGCACGGCTCTGTGGTGTGTGGCCACCATTCTTACTGAAATATATTCCACTATCATGCATAGTACTTTCCACTCCTCAGTGATAGCGCCGCTTCAAAGCGCGTACGCACCGAAGAATTTGTCTTTTTCAGCCGAACCAAAGAAGGATTCTCCCGCTATCACGTCGTACGCAGTGAGAAGTCCAACAAAACAGCCAGAACAGTGTCCCCGTTCATAGTATTGTGGTTACTGACAGCCACGCTAGGTGATGACTATAAAGTTACAAAAACAAAAATGGCTAGTGGAGACCTTCTTTCAGAAGCCTGTGACAAAAATCTATTTGACAAGCTAAAGAACCTTGCAACATTCGGTGATATTCCCATCAGCGTAACAACCTATCGATCCATGAACTCTGCACGTGGATTTGTTTTCGACACAGACCTTTTTGACCTGAAGGAGGCTGAACACCTCCAGGGCTTGAAAGAACAGAATACGACCAATGTGAAGCGAATCGTCATCCGAAGGAACAATCAGAAAACCCCAACGAAACACTTGGTACTGACCTTTTCCACCAGTAAACTACCACAAACAATAGATACTGGCTATACTAAGACATAGATCAAACCCTACATACCAAACCCTCGCCAGTGTTATCAGTGTAAAAGGTTCGGCCATGGCTCTCAGAGCTGTCGTGGTTGAGCTGCTTGTGCCAAATGCGGTGCCCAAGGCCACATCTCTGACAAATGTAATGAAACCCTACATTGTGTAAACTGTGACAGACGTGGCATGTGCACGTTCTTTTCCACCGTAACAAAAGAAAAACACATTATAACAATGAAGATTCGCGAAAACATCTCCTTCAAAGAAGCGCGCCGAAGGTCTTCAGCTTTTGATGGCACAACTTACGCTGATGCGGCGCGTCAGAGGGCAGCGTCACATCACCCCCCGCTACTATCGAGGCCCACGCAAAGTGAGCCATCGGGTGGGGTGGCCGCCCCCTGCTCCACCTACCAAGTGAGAGACTCAGGCGACTCCAGGGTCTTCGAGTCTACCAACCACATCTCACCATGCGAGGTCGCAAATGCTCAACAGCAGCACGCGTACGCGGGCGTCCAGTGCCTCACATGAGGTAATGGACACAAACACGGTACCTCAGGTGCCGGAAGTGCGGCGTGGCTCCCTGGAGCGTGCTATAAAAACTAAGAAACAAATAACAGAGCCTGATGTTGATCCTGCTAATTAAGCTACAACTTACCACTCGAACAGCCACTTCATTTTTGTACACATCCAATATGAAAACACAGATTATACAATGGAACGTCAGAGGCCTTATTAAAAACCTCGACGGCGTCCAAGAACTTCCACACAAACACTCAGCAAAGGTGCTGTGTGTACAGAAAACACGCTTACAATCAAAACACACCACCTTTTTACGCAGTTACATTATTTTCTGAAAGGACCGCAGTGATGTCCTGGCATCATCCGGAGGTGTATATGTTATAGATAAGCAAAGTATAGCAAGTAAGCACTTAAAACTCCAAACGTCTCTTGAGGCAGCTGCTGTTCGAGCGGTGCTTTTAAGCAAACTCGTCACCCTTTGCTCTATACACATACTTCCACATTTTCAACTTCACAAACGCGAATTCCAGTCCTTGACAGATGAACTTCCCGAACCCTATCTTGTTCTCGGGGACTTTAATGTACATACTAGTCTATGGGGTGACTGTCGTTGCGGCGCGCGAGGTCGCCTAAATAAACTGTTCCTTTTCTCTTCTTGTGCCTGTCTCCTGAATAAGAAAGAGCTTACATATTACAACCTCGCTAACAGTACCCACTCCTCCATAGACATAAGCATTGCATCTCCATCCCTCCTATCTTTACTCACATGGATAATCATAAATAATCTTTATGGAAGTGACCATTTACCAGTAGAATAAAGTACACCAATATTATATGAATGTCCTCCACAGGTTACCAGATGGCTCACCAAAAAAGCCTATTGGAAACAGTTTTAAAAAAATACCCTCTTAACATGTACTTACTTGTGTGCGTTAAGCATAGAGCCTGCTGTGGACTACTTCACAGCTTTTCTAATGGACGCTGCCACCAAATGTATTCCTAAAAAAATGAACTACCTGGCCAACGACGTGTCCCTCGGAGGAGTAATGAGTGTCTAAAAGCGCGTAAAAAACAAAACAAAGCGTAAAAATTGCTGCGAGATTGACCTATGGCCGAGAATCTCACAAATTTCAAGAACATAAAATCCCAGGGTAGGAGAACGCGCACACAGGCAAGAGGGAAAGTTGAAAAAAATTTATCTGGCATCATATTATACACATTGGGGTAAGGTGTGGAACCCGGAAAGAAGGGCAAAAGGAAAGCAAGCATATGCGCTCCCTCTGGTGGAAGCGCAAGGTGACAGCTTGGAATACCAGGCAAACCACCTAAGAGCACACTTTGAGCAAGTTTCCAGCTCGTCACACTACTCTCATAAGTTCCAACTGTATAATACAAGAGTGGAGAAACAGAAACTAGATACGAAATGCACACACTACGAGGCATGCAACCAACCTTTCTCCCTAGCAGGGCTACATGCATCTCTAAACTGGTAAAGCACTTCCGCTCCGGGGTCTGACCGTGTGGTCTTTGAAATTTTGAAGGACCTACCTCTCGAAACGCAAAAAAACCTCACCCTACCTTTACAATGCCATCTGGTTTGCCGGCGACATCCCTTCGAGCTGGAAAGAGGCCATTGTTATTCCCATTTTGAAAGAAGGCAAGGATTCATACTCCGTTACAAGTTACAGGCTCATAGCACTGACAAGCTGCCTATGCAAACTTTTCGAAAAGATTATAAATCACTGGCTCGTACACTTCCTTGAAACTAACAACCTACTTGATCTGTACCAGTGTGGGTTCCGCGATTGCAGATCCACCATTGACCACCTGGTACGTATGGAGACACAGATACGAGATGCTTTCCTTCATAAGCAAGTTTTCCTATCTGTCTTTCTCGATATGAAGAAAGCTTACGACACTACATGGCACTTTGGGATATTGCGAGACCTCTCACACTCAGGTGTCCGAGGAATACGCTGAGCATAACTCAGAGTTATCTGTCGGATTGCACTTTCTATGCTCGAGTGGGGAGTGTCTTGTTACGTTTATATAAAAATGAATACCTTGCATACCTGTATTCCATGAAACATGTCATATTGTACATACGTCGACGACATATAGATAGGTTAAAAATCATGCAACCTCACAATATGCGAGTGGAAGGTTCAACTCTGCTTGAATAAGGTAATAAAGTGGGCAGACCAGAATGGATTCACCGTTAAGCCACAAAAGAACACCAGCATTTTATTCTCAAGAAAGAGAGGTCTCCATCCAGATCCGGACATTGACCTGCACGGTGAGAGGCTACCAGTGAAATCTGAGCAAAAATTTTTGGGCATCATTTTAGACAAGAAAGTAAAATTCATTCCTCACATTAAACATCTCAAAAACAAGTGCCTGAATGCAATGAATGTATTAAAGGTTTTATCGCGGACATTATAGGGTAGTTATAAAAAATGCCTGATGAATCTTTCTAAAAGCCTAATATGTACACGCTTTGATTATGGGGCGATAATTTATCAGTATGTAGCACCAAGTACCTTGCAAATGCTTGACCCTGTCCATCATTTGCATCTGACTTTCTACGTGTGCTCTTTGCACCAGCCCCGTAAAAAGCCTCCACGTTGAGTCAAATGAGTGGTTGCTTCATCTGCAAAGAACTTACGTTTCCTTTGTATATTTCTTTAAGGTAAAATCAGACAAGAATCCCCCCTTATACTCTACTACTAATGATTTATCGAGCTCTATTCTATTTCAAACCAGGCCTTCGATGAGGCAGCCCTACTCTGTTCGCCTGAAGGGTCTAGCTAAGGAAACTGGCGTATCACTTGGACACAGTTTAACGGTTTCTGCAGTATGCCCGCCACCGTGGCAGTGGCAAACTATAGACTACGATGTGTCTTTTCTAGAAGTTACAGAACACGCGCCTATCACCCATATTCAACCATAGTTCCTGGAACTTCAACACAAATACACACGTCCTGAGTTTTTTACAGATGCCTTGAGACCTAACTCTTCTGTATCGTACGCCGCGGTTAGCCCATACTTTTCAGATGCTTGCCCTCT